GAGAGAAGATAATGAGGTATTAAAGGTTAAGGAAGGAGAGAACAAACTTCAAACTGATTTTGAGAAAATAAATAAGAATAAACATATTCATATATATATATTTCATAGTATAAATCTATTTAAAATTATGCATTATAAACATATATGCATATATTAAATTACATAATAAAATATATATCCTTTTTAACATAGAGCCATCAAAATTGTGTCTGCTACTTTTACAGTCAAACAACACTTTATTCACCTTGCTTTTAATTTTTCGGTGACATCTTCACCAAATACTGCATAGATGAGATCATAGATATTATATATTAAAATGGTAAGCTTAAATTCTTTGAATAAGCTCTCACATTTTTTTTCTGAACAAAAATTGTTCACAGAGGGAAAAGGGAGGTTTAATAGGTTTATCTTTTATACCAAAGTTTGGTTTACTTTTAACATGTAGGTTGGATTTAATATCCACTTCTGGTGTGTTAGTATCAAAAAGAAGGAAAAATCATTTAAGATTCCATCCTATTTATTGAAAAATATCAGATGAAAAACATATTCCAGTGTTCAATCATGTTTTGTCATTGTCAAACATGTAGGCAAAAAAGTAAATATGAAAATTATTCAAAGAAATTGACATTCCTCTTGCAGAAACAATTCCTAGATTTTTTTGTTTTGTTTTGTTTTCTTCCCCAAACAAATGCACTGGCAGAAAATAGAGCAATGTGTCACTGTGCCTTTATATTTTATGATGTTATTGCAATAAATATTTAAAAATAATATTTTATTTTGTTACTAGAAAGCCAGCTCATGAAGGCTATTTGTTTTCCAAAATTTAGGAGCTTCATGTTCTGGATTTGTTTCATCTGTTATTAAGATGACAATATCAGTTTTTAACATTTAAGAAACATGCACTGTACCAGTAGCTCTGAATGATGAAATACAGTCATACAAAAGTTAAATAAGGTATAAACATGCAAAAGGAGAAGTCTCCCTTCAATCATAAAGTGATTTTATTTTCTGTTCAACAGTTCATGTTACTGCTGTTCATGCTAATTAATTAAAGGAGCTGTTGTTATAATGTGCAAACAGGGAATCTGAGAAACAGAGGGGTTTTAGGTCTTCAAGTGAAGTTAAGTCAATCTTGGCAAGAGCAATCAAATGTAATGAAATCACTTGTCAGTGCTAAGCTTGTGAAAACTGTGAAGTTTGACTAGGGAGTAAAAGGATTATAATTAGATTTCCAATAGGATAATAACTAAATGGCAGAATGCAGTAAAGAAAAGATATCACTTTGTTAGCTAATGGTACTGCATTTTGGCTTTAGTTTTTATCATCTCACTTGTAGTTGTGCTAATTTAATTTGCCTTAATCAGCAAAGATGCACTACACAAATGATATTTGAGTGTCATTTGCAAAAATCATTGATCTGAAGGTACATTTAATGACAACCGATATGCTTATTTTACGTGAAAAAGAGATTAGTTGATAAGATGGTTGATGTGTATCTTGCAGGCCTCCAGCTTTGTTATGAGAATCTGGGTGGGAGGATATTAGTATACATCCTTCACTTCCAGAAATTGTAGACACTGCTATCAGAATGGGTGTGTATTCATTTTTTGATCACATTATAGTATACAGGAGGAGTTGCTATATAGACCACTAAAATATAAGGAATACAGAAATCCTTTTATCAGAAGGTGGTCTATGCATAATAACATGTCTGTCAAACAATACTCAAAGCATAAAAAAGAAATAACTAAGCTGAAGAGATTTAGAAAGCATATAAGTATAGAAGTACATGGGCAGTTTGTGGAAATTATCATAAAACTATACAGGACTTTACTACTTCCGATGATACCCAAGCAACATTCTTCCAAATCCTCTTTAAGCTCTCTTAAGGAAATGTCACAATGCAACTAATTGACTTTCAAAGAAAGAGCACTAAGTGAATGACAGATTTCTACCCAACAGAGATATTGACAATAGAAAGAAAAAAAGACTTCACTGATGCTGGAATTGTTTGCTGTGATGGAGATGGGTTGTGAAAATAGCATTGTATTAGCATGCATGAATTGACCCTCACAGTCAATGCTAGGAAATAATCGTCCAAGTTAAAAAATTTCCTGTTAAAGAATACGGAACAAGCTACCACCAACCAGAAAGAGGGAAGTGAAAAAGATGAAAATAGTATCAAAATATATCACAAAAGAAAATCAAGGTAACACAAAAGAGCAAAATTATCAGGCAGAAAGGAAAAATAATGGTTAAAATTGCATTTTATATCCACCGAACATTATACATTGTTTCAAGTTCATAGGTACATATAAAAGTACTTTCTCAATTCTGAACATCTAAGACAAAAAAGTAATATTATTGGGATGTTTTGATAATTATTTGAATTGATTGATTCAATTAACTATTTTTATGATTAATTCTGATAATATTTTCAGTAATCTATTCACCTAGTTAATAGAATAAATCAACTTTTGCTCATAAAGTAATTTTTTTAGATATTAAATTGTGACCTACTATCATATTAATACAAGGCATTTACTCTAGTTTTTCATAAATTGATGAACTTTATCATTTGTCATATTTATATATTGTGCTAAGGAAGATGAGAATGTGAAATTTTTCATTTTTACCATATTTATCAATAGTACTATTTAACATAACCTAAAAAGCAGATATTTAATAAAATTATTAACCATCATATTTTACCATATATATGGAAAATATTAACCACAAATGCTAGAAAATTTGACTTATAATTTGAAAAATATATATAAAAGTTAATTCCCTTGCTTTAAAATATGTTCTATCTCAATCCTTTTAAAAGTAGACCTAATTTTCTCATATTTAGCTAGCAAAAACTAAGAAAGCTTATTAAAATTATGTTCACTGAATACAAATATTAAATGTGCCCTCTCCTAACCACAAGTTAATATCAAAAGCCATTTTTTGCAGACTTCATTAAAATAAAAGACTGAGCCAAATAGTGATTGTAACTTTTCCTTATATCATCTAATTGGCCTTCTAAGAATAAGTTATCTGTTTGTTGCACTGAAATGAACTAACTTTAGGACAGTTCAAATTTTATATTTATTTCAGAGTTAGGAAAGATGCTATTATTGGGGACTAAAGGAATTTATATATAATATAGATAGATATAGATAAAGATACATGGACTTCCCTGGTTGCTCAGAATCTACCTGCATTGTGTAAAGAATCTGCGTACATTGGGGGAGACCTGGGTTGGATCCCTGGGTTGGGAAGACCCCCTGGAAAAGGAAATGGCAACCCACTGCAGTATTCTTGCCTGGGAAATCCCATGGACAGAGGAAACACACACACACACACAGAGATAGATATATCATATATATATATGTATATATATATATATATATATATATATATATGAATAGCTATGAATGGTGAGTATAAGATTAAAGGATAATTAAAGGCTAATAAAGATACAACCTGCTGATGGTTTACCTTCTACAGTTCCAAAGATGACCTTATATCTCACTTAAAGGAGGCCCCAATCAAGCTCAACACTCCTTAAAGACTCAGTCTATATTTGTGTTTTACAGATTCACAAGGGATCAAATGCTTCAGACTTGCTCAATCCTTCCTTGGACCAGTGGTGGCAACCTTAAATAGTGGTAGCCCACAACTAGTGGGGATTTATTTACAAATTTCACAGTGGTAAATTGGATAAACACTGAGTCCCATTCACATTGGCTTTGCTCACACAGACACAGCCTTTAAGTTGAGAGAAGAAAGTAGGTAAGCAAAAGAGGCATAAGACACAGCAAAAGCTTTATGAGCTACACATGCATGCTTCCACATCTAGTAAAGTTAATACATTAGTTAAGTCTCTCCAACTGCAGCAGAATCAGTCATTCCCAAAAGATCCATGATCTTTGACACTCCTGGATTTGCAAAGATGATGTGCAAAACTTCATGAGTGAGGCTTTCTAAATTTTCTGAAACTGCCACATAAAGTGGTGATCAACAGACAAACCCACATGGATCTTTTGGTCATATCTGGTTCTGTTGTCTTCATATAGATCCAGTCATTACACCATGGAAAGGCATTGATTAGTTAAACCTCCAAAAGGCAGCATTTCTGTGGCTGTGTCCTTTTTGAAAGTTAGGTAACTGTTTTTTGTTTGTTTGTTTGTTTTTCATTAGAGCGAGACATGAATATGAAAATAAAAGTAATCTGCATATCAGGGCTAGAAAACTGCACTAGAAAGACACAGAAAAACTCCAGTGGTCAAATTCAATTTTTATTTTTAGTTGTGTTTGCACTCCAATGAGACTCTATATTAATTCATTTTGCCTATTTTCTTACTACTAAACACTTTTAAATGTTTTAAAGGATCTAAGCAGTTATGGGAATACTACAAATTATGAAATACAAGTCCTGCTCTTATTTTCACATTTAGTCAGTTTCTAAAATATCTAAAGTTGGCATCAGAACTTAAATATTGATAAAAATGTTGCCTAGAATACTTTGCAAATATTGATAGGTTATGATTACTGTACCAGTGTCTTTTACAAATAGTAAAGTAGTGAGATTTAAAAAGTATATTATTGTACACTGCTAAAAAGGTAAATTATATTCATATTTTGCATTTTTAGACTATGTCTAACTTATAAATGTACATTCTTTTAACACACAAACATACAAGAAATTTGCTCACATTGTATATGTAAAATTCTTAGTCCCTAAATACATAGTCTCAATAAACATTACAGACTTTTACCCTATCATGAAATAAGAAAAGTTTTATTTATTCATGTGAAAAGTATTATTATTTATTATGAGAGTATTACTTATGTATTATTATTTAATCATCATTATTATGTATTATTTATTTAAGTATTATTTATTTATGATATTTATTTATGAAAAGTATCAACAAAGGAGCTCATCCCCATCCAACCCTCTGGGATCATATATTAAGTAGTTGTAGAAAGAAGTAGGCTGTTTACTGTACCTTGCATAGCAGAACTACCATGAGGAGTTCCAGTGTTCTCTATTTCAATATCTGGAAGCACAGTATCTGAAAGAAGTGACACTCAAGATTACAGTATATTCTATTTTTCCTTATTCCATTTAAGTATAAACTCTCAGCTGGCCAGGGTCTTGGCCCTATAGTAAACATGAGACTTTGAGTGGCATTTTGACTTTTTTTTTTGTATGTCAATATATTTTTAATGGTAGTGTTTAGAGATCCACTGACTGAAACCTCCCTGCCTGGACAGGCACCATAGTAACCACGTGCATGAGTTATCTTACAAAAGGTGGTCCTGGTAAGGAACACAGAACTAACAAGCTACTACCAAATGGAAGAATTCGAGAAAGGTCAAAAGGAGAGAGGAAACACCAGTCCATATGTCCTATCAACCTCCTAGAATCCTTCTCGCTGGAATCTATCTTTGCTGAGTGATGTGCGTGCCACCCGTGAGTCAAGAGTGATTGGCCAGAGACAACATGGAAACTAATCTATCTATCATAAAATCCAAGACTGTGAGTCACATGGCAAAGCAGTTCTCCTGGGTTCCCTTACTCTCCTGCTCTCCACCTAGGGGGCCCCTTCCCAATAAAGTAACTTGTGCCTCCTTGGACAATCCATTGCCAAGTGTTAGGAAAGAGCTTACTCTTGGGCCCTGGAAGGGGCCCCCTTTCCTACAACAGTAAGAAGGAAGATTATAAACCTTAGCTAAATTCTACAATTGGGCATATATTTCCAAGTATATAGTAAATACCTATTTATTCATTTTACTCTCTAGAGATAAATCTCAGGAAAATAATCTATCCATAAAAACCCCCTCAGACTATCAGGTAACATACCCTGACTATGGAATAAGGAAAAAGTTAATATAATTACCCCATTCCTATGTATATTTTCCATTTGTGAAATGTGATAGATGATTATCTCTATGGTAAATGTACATGAACATGAAAACACAGACTATGATTTCTGGTCTTTATTTAGTACTGGTTCTTGGGGCCAAGAGATACATGAATTGTTTAAAACAAATAAACAAAAAATCTTGAGGAGAAGAAGCAAGGAGCTGGGTTTCTTATTTTCGCTTTTAAATATGATTATCTAAAAGTTATTCATATTCATGAAGCACAGCTTAATATGGCCATTTCTGTATATAAATTGCTCAGACACCCTTGGGTAATATGATAACAGATGCCTATGTATCATCCAATGTCATCGAGGATTAATGTGAGAAAGAAATGACTTGAATACAAGTTACCCACATGCTGTAAAAACAGACACTTTTCCTTTGTAACAGAGGACACTGGAGCTACAGTGGAATTCACATATGAGTGGATTTAAAATATATATATATATATAAAAAACTCAAGAGTCCTCAGAATTACATCTTCAGAGCCTCAAATAATGAGTGTACTGAACATTTGCTCCATTGTTGGCTCCCATTGTCTAAGATGTTCCATAGTATGAGATATTGATGTATTATTATTTATCCTCTCTCTTCTGTGTCTCAATAAGGCATGGCTGTCATGAGCTAATAATCTAGTTCTGTATTTCTATTGACTGTGAGGACAATGATTTAAGATAGTCACAGCAAAAAGGGAATTGAATTTTTAGGAGGTAAAAATATGATTGAACATTTGTATGGAATTCTCTATTCATTCATAGTATATGGCACTTGAAGAAACACTCTTTCAGTTCATACTTGTGTCATATCATGTATGGAATATGTGCACACGTATGAATAAAATTCTTAGGCTCATCCTTATTATATACACATATCAGTTAAATATACCAGCTGTTAATATGCTATGGAAGAAGAACTTGAATAGTCTATGAGATAAAATTATATTGTAGAGCTTCATAATTTAAAATAGACTCAGAAAAATTTGGGATTGAGAGATTTCATGAGAAGCACCTCTTCTCACAGGAGCTCCAGTAATTTATTTAGAACATTTTTTCCAATCAGGCACTCTTGAAGCCCTCATCACTGATACAATTTACATTAAAGGAGCCAGCCTTCTAAAGCTCATTAAAATAAAAGAAACATTATTATGGAGAACAGTGTGGAGATTTCTTAAAAAACTGGAAATAGAACTGCCATATGACCCAGCAATACCACTTCTGGGCATACACACAGAGGAAACCAGATCTGAAAGAGACACGTGCACCCCAATGTTCATCACAGCACTGTTTATAATAGCCAGGACATGGAAGCAACCTAGATGCCCATCAGCAGACGAATGGATAAGGAAGCTGTGGTACATATACACCGTGGAAGATTACTCAGCCATTAAAAAGAATTCATTTGAATCACTTCTAATGAGATGGATGAAACTGGAGCCCATTTATACAGAGTGAAGTAAGCCAGAAAGATAAAGAACATTACAGCATACTAAGGCACATATATGGAATTTAGAAAGATGGTAATGATAACCCTATATACAAAACAGAAAAAGAGACACAGATATAGAGAACAGACTTTTGGACTCTGTGGGAGAAGGCGAGGGTGGGATGTTTTGAGAGAACAGCATGAATATTATCTATAGTGAAACAGATCACCAGCCCAGGTGGGATGCATGAGACAAGTGCTCAGGCCTGGTGCACTGGGAAGACCCAGAGGAATCGGGTGGAGAGGGAGATGGGAGGGGGGATCGGGATGGGGAATACATGTAACTCCATGGCTGATTCATGTCAATGTATGACAAAACCCACTGCAATGTTGTGAAGTAATTAGCCTCCAACTAATAAAAATAAATGAAAAAAAATAAAATAAATGAAATATTAAAACAAACATCAACATATTTTAACATGAATGGAGATAAAATACATTTTAAGTGTAGGGAAGTTGTCAATATTACTGCTGCAAAAACCAGGAGGATTTCCTTATTCTGAACCTATTATATCTCCCAGAATAGGAATTATTTTGACAGATTTAATTAATGACCGAAAACACCTGGCTTCAAATTAATGTATTAATTGTGTGCTTATTCACTCATTCTTGTCTGACTCTTTGTGACCCCATGGGCTGTGGCCCTCCAGGGTCCCCTTTCCATGGAGATTCTCCAGGCAAGAATACTGGAGTGGATTGCCATGCCCTCCTTCAGGGGATCTTCCCAAGCCAGTGATCAAACCCAGTTCTCTTTGTCATTTGAGCCACTTGGGAAGCGCTGATGTATTCATTGTTCCTGGACAAAGTCTCTCCCACTTCATCTCCCTCCCTCACCCCCTTCCCCTTTGTGTACCCTGATTGTGAAGTTCCAATTCACACATTACCTTTCAACATCCTTAGTCCACTGTCACTAGTAGTGGCTTGCTTAAGTGCTTGCTCCACTTTCTCCCTGCGCTTTGATTCAAATTCCAAGGCTTCTTGTAGCTTTTTCTTTGTTTTTTTCTCCTTCTTTAGGCGCTTTTGCATGGTAGCTGAAATATGGAAAGGGAAGTAGTTTTCAAAGGCTTGGTCATTGAAATCAAGTTGCCAGTTTTTATGAATTATAAAAAATAGATACAGATTCAGGTAGATATATAAATGTATGATTAGCTTCTTTTGATTCCAATTATCATCAGACCCAACCAAAGAGTATTCAGTCATATAATTGATTTGTTATTGCTTTCACATCTCCAGTAAGTAAGCTCTATAATACACATACATTTATACAATGTTGGTGGTATTACTGGAAAACTGTTTTCTACTTTGACTACATGAATTTAGTGATAACATGAAATATTTTATAAATTTGTTAAGAAAAGTATTCTTATTATTCATCGGGTTATTCCTTTACATACTTCAAAATAAAAAAAAAATCCTGAAAATATTCATTGAGTTTCAAAACATGGTATGTTTTTTAAAACTTACGATGTTCAGGGTCTATTTCTCTGAGATGTTACTACTTTTAAGGGACAATATTTATCTCTTTAAGTATATGCACGCATCATCAGACTCTGCATCTCTCAATATATTTATATTTGAACCTATCTACATATTTTAAAGAGAATAATATTCAGCAATCATTTTATTAAGCAATCTATAAAAGCACAATAGCATTTTTCATAAACAGTAAAGGAAATGAAGAGATAAAAACAATTATAACTCAACTCTCAAGGCTTTATATCCTAACTAGAAACTTTAACTGCCCTAATGTATAATTGTTACTATACTCTGAAACCTTTAAATCTGTGATAATTTCTCAAATAGAATTAGTGAACTTTAGTAATTATATTGGTACACAGTAGGGTTCTAACAGGGTTCTAAGCAAACCAACCTTCACATTCTTCCACAATCAGTTTTTAAAAATTGAGATATTAATATCATGGAAATAGAAAACCATTCAAGGAACATTAAGCAAAATTATAAATTATATGATATTTAAAAAGTTAAAATATTCATATACATTTAAAATATTTCAATTGCAGTAAACAGAATAAGATGCTAATTTGAATTTCAATTGCTTTATCTCACATTTCAATGTTTTTTCATATAAATGACCTTCAGCAACTTGAAAACAGTCACTCATTTAAATGTGTGCTTATTTCAGAGGACTAAGGTAATAACAAGATGAAAATCTTGAAATAGAGACACTGAGAATGTATGGTTTCTGTTCCATTTTTGAAAAAATGCTGCTAAATAAGGTTGAATATAAAAAGACCTTACTATTATAATTATACTTAATTATCATTAAAATAAAGCATTCAGTAAATTATTTAACTCAAAAACATAGATTTATTCAAATTAATGTATAATTTAATGTCCATGATAAGACAAAATTTTGCTTCTAGTAAAATTATTTATTGAAAAATATTCCATATGTCGATTCTCTTGAAATTTATGATGCCATACATTATAAACAATGCCATAGGATATTACATTTAGAACTATATAAAAATAATAACTATATTTATTTAGGACCTTTCATATATGGAACATTTTCCTGGAACTACATCTCCTTTAAATCTTACAAAAACACAATAAGGAAGACATTGGTATCTCCACTACATAGATGAAGAAACTTAGTCCTTGAGACGTTACAAAATTCACTCAAGGATGTGAGGGCGATCTGGTTGCGACATCTGTCACCCCACTGATTGCCAGGGTTGATTTGGCTGATCTGGCTCGTTAGGCGGGTGTCCCCTTCCTCAGTCACTGCTCCAAGTGTGTCCCTCCCAAAGCTGCGCGCTCGGTTGAAGAGGACGACCATCCCCGATAGAGAACCGGTCCTCGGTCAAGGGTATACGAGTAGCCGCGCTCCCCTGCTAGAAACTCCAAACAAACTCTCAAAATTCACTCAAGATCCAAGAATCAGTAGTTCTCATAGCCCTAGGACCAAAGATCATATAGGTAGTTGCTTCAAAGCCTGGGGCCATATAGTTGGACAAGGACCAAAATAGATGAACTTAAACCTTTCTTGTAGCTCTATCTTTATTTGATTCTAAGTATTTAATTTGTAAATAATATTATTCAGTTCAGCTCAGTCGCTCAGTCCTGTCTGATTCTTTGCGCCCCCACGAACTGCAGCACGCCAGGCCTCAATGTTTATCACCAACTCCCGGAGTCTACCCAAACCCATGTCCATTGAGTCGGTGATGCCATCCAACCATCTCATCCTCTGTTGCCCTTTTCTCCTCCTGCCCTCAATCTTTCCCAGCATCAGGGTCTTTTCAAATGAGTCAGCTCTTCACATGAGGTGGTCAAAGTATTGGAATTTCAGCTTCAGCATCAGTCCTTCCAATGAACACTAAGGACTGATCTCCCTTAGGATGGGCTGGTTGGATCTCCTTGCAGTCCAAGAGACTCTCAAGAGTTTTCTCCAACATCACAATTCAAAAGCATCAATTCATCAGCGCTCAGTTTTCTTTATAGTCCAACTCTCACATCCATACATGATTACTGGAAAAACCATAGCCTTGACTAGATGGACCTTTGTGGACAAAGTAATGTCTCTGTTTTTTAATATACTGTCTAGGTTGGTCATAACTTTTCTTCCAAGGAGCAAGCATCTTTTAATTTCATTGCTGCAGTCACCATCTGCCATGATTCTGGAGCCCCCAAAAATAAAGTCAGCCACTGTTTCCACTGTTTCCCCATCTTTTTGCCATGAAGTGATGGGACCAAATGCCATGATCTTAGTTTTCTGAATGTTGAGCTTTAAGCCATTGTTTTCACTCTGCTCTTTCACTTTTATCAAGAGACTCTTTAGTTCTTCTTCACTTTCTGCCATAAGGGTGGTGTCATCTGCATATCTGAGGTTATTGATATTTCTCCTGGCAATCTTGATTCCAGCTTGTGCTTTCTCCAGCTCAGCGTTTTTCATGATGTACTCTGCATATAAGTTAAATAAGCAGGGTGACAATATACAGCCTTGATGTACGCCTTTTCCCATTTGGAACCAGTCTGTTGGTCCATGTCCAGTTCTAACTGTTGCTTCCTGACCTGCATACAGGTTTCTCAAGAGGCAGGTCAGGTGGTCTGGTATTCCCATCTCTTTCAGAATTTTCCACAGTTTATTGTGATCCACACAGTCGAAAGCTTTGGCATAGTCAATAAAGCAGAAATAGATGTTTTTCTGGAACTCTTTTGCTTTTTTGATTATCCAGCAGATGTTGGCAATTTGATCTCTGCTTCCTCTACTTTTTCTAAATCAAGTAACACATTCTTGCTAGGAATCACCTATCTAACTACCTAATAACTACCTAACTACCTAATAACTACCTAACCAAAGGTAGTTAAGTAGAATATTCAAGAATGAAACGTCGCTCTCATGGGAGAAAGATACTCAGGGGTTCTTACTATTTATGTATATGCAAATGTGCATATATACAATTTTACATATGTTCTTTATATGTGTATATATGTTGCTACTATATTATCTATAAACTTGAGGAGACATTATCTTTTAACTCTAATATCAATTTTCTCCTTTTTTCTTTTCAATAATATGACTTCAAATAGAGTTCATACTTTATCAGCAAAAGTAGGATCAATGGATATGAGGTATTTGGTCAGGTAGAAAGGAAGTTAAGTGATCATCCAGTAATAGATGATGATGTTGAGATTCATAGAGATGAAGAACATAGTTTCTCTAAGTCAATGAGGATAATAGGAATAATTTTTATTGTATTCATCATAAGGTGTAAAGTGTTAAAAACAGTGCTTAACACTTAGCAGTCAGATGATAAGCATTAGCTAACAGTAGTAGTAGTAGCAGTGATGATAGTAGTAGAACAGACAGTAATGACAGTAATAGTAATGATAATAGAATAATAGTAGTGGTATTACTATTATATCATGATTATTAAATTTATTAAATACAAATGCTTCATGGTAAATCTATGTCTAGGAATTTTTAAAAGAAAATAGATGTGATATCAATTACAAAGACTGACCTGAAGAGTCTATAAGAAGTAAACAGAAATCAGCATGGTTAGATCCCTAAAAGTTAGATGCCAATTTTAATGTATGTAGTTTTTCATAAATCAATTTGTGAGTGTTACTATATTAAACATATAATTATTTGTTTTTTTTTTGTTGTTGCTTGATCACTGTCATATCTGATTCTTTTGAGACCCCATGGACTGCAACCTGACAGGCTCTTCTGTCCATGGGATTTTTCAGGCAAGAAGACTGGAGTGGGTTGTTATTTCCTTCTCCAGGGTATCTTCCTGACCCATGTCTCCTGCATTGCAGGTGGATTCTTTAACACTGAGCCACCAGGGAAGCCCAAAATTATTTGTTACTTTTGTATAAATGATTTCCCTACAAAAGAAATGTGCTTTTATGACTCTTAATCATAATAATTCATAATTTCCCTCTGCTCTTAAACAGTATCAGATTAGATACCTTCCAACCTGGGGGAGAGGGGAGGCATCTTCCATTGTCATATCATTTTGCCTTTTCATACTGTTCATGGGATTCTTGTGGCAAGAATACTGAAGTGGTTTGACATTCCCTCCTCTAGTTGACCACATTTTATCAGAACTCTTATGATCCATCTGTCTTGGGTGGCCCTGTACTGTATGGCTCATAGCTTCATTGAGCTATACAATCCCCTTTGCCATGACAAGGCTGTAATCCATGAAGAGGTTAGAGAATAGCTCCAGAAAGAATGATGCAGCTGGGTCAAAGTGGAAGTGACACTCAGTTGTGGATGTATCTCGTGGTGAAAGTAAAGTCTGATGCTATAAAGAACAATATTGTATAGGAACCTGGAATGTTATGTCCATAAATCAAAGCAAGTTGGATGTGTTCAGGTAGGAGATGGCAAGAGTGAACATCAACATCTTAGGAATCAGTGAACTAAAATGGGTGGGAACAGGTTAATTCAACTCAGATAACCATTACATCTACTGCTGTGGGCAAGAATCCTTAGAAGAAATTGAGTAACCCTCATAGTCAACAAAACAGGTCAAAATGCATTACTTGGGTGCAG